TCACCTTAAGCAAGGTGATCCTTACTCGACGTGCCAATCCTGGCTTTTTCCTACTGCATCAACGCCATTCTCCCTTACCTCTTCTACTTTAAAGNGTAACAGCTTGGAAATTGGTAATAGTTGGCAAAGTTGGTGAGTTACGGGCAAAACATCGGCCTCGGACGGTATTCGAACTCGTACAAAACATCAAGTCAAAACAAGTTGTAATAGTTGACTTCCCAGGGTCTCAGGGCATGCCGTAATAGTGGATAAAATGGGTAATTTTGAAAATGGTGGGTGGGTGATGGCAGGGGCCACTTCAACTCCCTCATCAATCCAGCTTCTCGATATTTGACTTTTTCCACAAAAATGGTGAGAAATGAATACAAAAACGACAAAAAAAAACTTAAAAACATCATTGGACTCACCTCTTTGAGGTGTCTCGATCGCCTTCAAAAAAATTTTTTAAATGTATTACCCACGTGGTACCGACTTCGAGGATAGAACACAAGTGCTATATATAACGTTTTACACTAAAATGCTGTTTTTATGAGAAATCGCACAATTTGGAATCCTCATGATCCTCATGAATCATCCCTTCCCTCAACGCCTCCAGTAAAGTCAAACGGAGGGAAGCAGAGGCGCTTTGCTGGCACCTGGCTGACAGATGAGCTTGACAAATAGGTCTCGTGATGCGTTAAAATAACTGAATTTCAAGGTTGTGTTATACGTGACAGATGAGATCTCAGAGAGGAGAAAATGTTAGATTGGAAAGGCGCAGGTGTCAGTATATACTGGATAAAAAACCGCTCAAAATAGGTCTTATAAGACCGTACAAATGGACCTAACAGCGTCTTTTTTTCTGAACAGAAGGATTTTGTTCTTGAGGACTTCTCGGAGCATTGACAACCACCACTCGATTCGAAATCCACACGATTTACACCATATGGCCTGACGGCATCTGTAGATCCTCGATATAATCGTAGTAAACCCATCAATGCAAAGAGAGAATCGCCGTGTCGTGATAGAAGCGCAGGGGGTCAAGAGATGACGAATGACTCACTACAATACACCCACTGACCCGCGCCTATACATCGTAAAATCGTGCCGCATTCGATACGTACAACCTATCCACAAACACGTGTAAGTGCAATGCCCTCCATTTCCCGAAGGTAAGTACATCATCGACCGAGGAGGCTTCAAAAACTTCGAAGAGAACGAGTTGATGTGTGGGAACCAAGGAAGGTGATCAGAACTCAGCTAATCCTCACTAATATTTACCAACAACACGTGAAGCTATTTCTCGAATCCCATCGATACGGGTATTATGGTCTGGAAAACAGGTCCTACTGTGAATGCACAAGAATTGGTAAATCTAGAAATGAAAATTCAGCTCGGGAACCCGGTTACACACCACTAGACTGGCTATGGGTTTCGACTCGACCGGGTGGTCGTGATGCAACACATCTCCCTTTCTGCCCCCACACCTCCCCCGTGTCCTTCCTCCAGTCCTTTTTCAATGCATCATATATGTGACGGTTAAAAATTCATGCACTCAAACAGGATTATGCCGTCAAATGAAATATGTTGTGTGTGAAATTCTGTGCCTATTGCATTTTATTTTACCGTAAGGTCACGGTAAGAATTGAGTTCTCGTACTACATTTTCGTCCTGCCGGGACCTGAACTACATTTCTAAGAGCAAAATTGAGCTCTGGTTCAACAGCATAACAGGATGATGATGGACTGCTCGTTGACTGGAGCCTCTCACATGTAGACTGGCTGAACAAAAAAATTCTTAAATCGACCCTTTTCCCATATCGGAACCGTTGCCATATTCAATAAATATTTATGAATGCCTACGTAGCATTTGGAATATTTTATCGACTTATATCATTACATATACAACCGAAAATGGTCGTAAACAATGCACTTTGTCAGCTTCCGTCGCTGAACCGTGCGATAACGAATTTGGGAGAAAGACGCCAATGGGATTCATCCGACGCCATAAAGGCGTCAGTCACATCGGAATGGCTCCAGATCGTAGTTGAAAGTCAATTGCATAGTAATTCGTTCTTAGAAAAAAGGTCATTACTGCGCACTTATGAGGGAGTTCCTACGCGTGAATGCTTAGAAAATTTAGAAGTACTCTATCTTCAGAACATTTGTTCATAGAATGCCTTTGAAGGGTTCTAAATTGGTAGTCCATAACATCTTCCAATAAATAGTGCTAAGAAATAAAGAAGTAGCAAACTCACGAGCGGAGCGTATGCAACGCGTGTAGGGTGGCAGGATGGCAACCGCCCGGTAAAGCCTGAAGGGTGGCCGGTACAGCGCTATCGCGCTCCTGTGACAATGAATGTGCTGGCATCTAACCAATTTGCCTTAGCTCCATTCTAAACTCACTAAAATTGCACAAGCACAGGAGGAGAACTCGAAAAACATTGCAGCGTGGGAAGGTGCTCTCCCCAGACACCAGTGGGTGGACAACATTTTCTTAAATTTTGGGAATGTAAACATTTCAACGAGTCGGTCTTGAACACTTTTCCCTGATATACCTGGTTTCGTGGCTTTCATAGTCCGCCGGCTGACGTAAAACGAATTCGTTCGTATGTAAGAAATCTACGTCTGTTGCATTTTATTTCACGGTCAGAACCCGACCGTAAAGAATCTGAATCGTAAAGAACCGTGAAATAAAATGCAACATACATAGTTTTCTTACATACGAACTAATTCGTTTCACGTCAGCCGGCGCGCCCGCTGGCGGACTATGAAAGCAGCCATTGCTAGCATCGTCGCGGCGTAGTTCATCCTTGCCCAGCACGCGGTAGATTTTTCCTGGCGCCTCTCCATGGGGCTAGATCGCAAAAGGATACATTCCTCTGTATATGCTAGAGTGCTCAGACAGGCACGAATAAGGTGATCATTGAGCATTCTCGGGCTGTGGTCATATCCGTTGAACTAGTGCCGGCCGCCTCGAAATATGATAATGTTTACATAGTTGAGAGGAAGACAGCTTCCACTAAATCCCTGAGCCTTATTTTCCATATAGATGCGATCCACAATTTACTATGGAAGGTAGAAAAGAGGTCGGGAACGGCGGGATTTGAAGATTATCTCATTAGTGAGCGATATCTTCAGCCTCAATTATGGAGTTAATCCGACTCAATGCAGTCGACCCTAGAATGGAGGTGGGACACCTTGGACTCTTCCGTACTGCTATAAAAGGACAGAGCCTAAAATCGGTTGCGACAATCAATCCCTATTTGGGATACGCCCCTCATTCGACATCCATTCAGAATTCGCAGTGGCGTTATGAATGTGTATGTGACCTATACAATGACTTACGGTGGCACACCGCCATCAAGTCAGCGTTTTCCACCTCTCGGAAGGGACTGGTGCTGGACTAGCAATCGAGAAGGGATAGAAAGCCTGGTTGGCCTGAGTAACGAGCCAAGATTTTTTTTTCGCCTGATCTCTAGAGCTGGGTTTTAAAAGTTTTCAACATCGCTCGGATGTGTTTCGAAACCGGTAGGAAGTTTTTCTGACTCAGCAGAGTTGAACGAGGGAATGAAATGATGTAATGCGCGAGCAGCCGTCTTTCACATGACTAAGTTCATGTCATTCGTTTACAAAGATGTAACTTACACAGTCTTTTCGTGAATCACTCGTATCAAATGTAAGCGAAAGTGAAAAGTGCTGATAATTGCTAATTAGAATCAGGGCTTCAACAGGATCTGCAGAACATCGTAAGTTGTCAATCATCGGTTGAGATGGTAGGCGATAAGGCACAAATTGACTCATCCCACGACTATGCTATTTCCCACTGTACCATGACATAACTACGAAAATGTCGGAAATAAGTGTGGTGTATAGGGAAGTGGTGTTCTATCATTCACGCATGGATTGAATCACGGATCGATACTTACCCAAGCCAACCAAGCTTTCCATCTCTCCTGGGTTGTCTAATTTGCCTCAGACGGATATATTTGAAGGATATTAACACTGGCTTCCACAATGGGTGGCCATCGCAAACCTTCGCGTAGGTCACCTGCTTAATCGAAATGCCACTACGATTCTGAAAATGTGGAGGTGCATCCCAAAAGCGGGATTGATCACTCCACGATCTTTATCCTAGTTTAGGAAACACCGCGCCAGCCATTGAATGGCAAACCTTCAAGAATTTATCTTTCGATACACGACCCCACGCAAATACTGACTACTGAAAACCTCCTCGCTCCCCCCCCCCCCCCCTTAGAGAGTGCTACTTTTTGAGCCTGTTTATGAATAATCGGTCATCCGAAACCAAACATGAAATAGGACAAAAAGCAAATTAAAAACAAGGATGGAAGCAGAGGGGAAAAGCTGAACAGTCTATACCACTTGAGAACTACTTTCTCCCTCGCTTCGCTCTTATGCAAATCGTAAAGATAGCACTAATGACAGCGTAGCATTTACCCTTGAGAACCGTAGTCCTATAATAATAAAATTCGCTACGAATATAAGGCTCAAGGGTGTTTTTCCGTTATTTGGACTACTGACAACACTCTTTAGCTTTGTTGATGCCGGTATAGAAAGTCTAGACTTTTCATAATTACTCACACATTTGAGCTAAAATTTTTAAGCAACCACTATCCCGTCAGAAAACACAGCTGTACATACATAAATACATAGATACATACGAACAAGCATAGAAAGAAACTTCAGAGCACAGTTGACGACAAATGAAGTTTTCTAGACAGGATATGGCTCAGGACAAACCACAGCGGTAGCCTCGCTGTAACTAGGTCGCTGCGTATAGCGACTAGGCTAGCAGTTCATCTCATCCCAAACACACTGAGCAGGCAAAGCCCTATTTCCGATGAGGCGGCCGCTTTGGCGCGTCCTGACCGGCGTCCTTCTAGGCAAGTCACCAAAATGTCGATTGTTAGCTTATGCATCAAACACCTAGCTTATTATTGGTAGATCACATATATAAATACCACTCTAGATAAAAATGCACAAAAGCAAACGACTAAGAAATCAGCAGGACGTGCCACCGAATAGGGATCGAGCAATCGCTTCCGTATCAGTGGACCCACCAGAAGCACCACCACTATACCTTGCGGGACCAGAATAGGGAGGCGCAGTTGTTCGATCCTCTTCCCGCTCTGTGACCAGCTGCTTCTGAGCCCAGACGATCATCCGCAGTAATGCTTCGAGGCGAGGTGCAGCGGGTCGATTAAGAGCTCGGAGTACGGCCCCGTTCACTTCGGTAGAGACCTGAATAATGGAATGTATTTTAGAAGAAGAACGAGAATATTCCTGAGTAAAGCAAGGATTTATGGGGATCCTATCAAACTGCCCCGAAGTGCTAGCTGGAAATCATACTTATGAACAAATTTTGATACGTATTTTCGTATGAAGGCTAACGGTCATAATTTTTTCCTCTCTTACGACCATGTCGAACGAAATAAGGAAAATTATATCCATGAAGGGGTTCGCTGGACAGAGGAAATCATCTGCATGTCATTGTGAACCTTCTACAAAGCCTTAAGCGTGTTTGGGTAAAAAACGTTGCGGCAGTAGAAAGAGATTCTTAGTTACTCAACCAAGACACAGTGAACGGTACCATAAGAAAATATCTTCGTGCGCTATTATTCATAAGATCTCGTACCATTTGACGTTGAGACTGATCCAACAGCTTTCCGAAGGGACTTTCCGCTGGCTTCTCGAAAGCTAGCAAGGCAAAAGTTTTTTCCAACCTTTCCAATTGTGAATCCGTCAATGTGTTATCATTTGAAAGATTTTCTTGAGCGTATTCCAACGACCTCTCCATTTCACTGAAAGGCGAAAATAAGATTAGAAATTCAGAAAACGAAAACAACCCTGTGAAAATAAATGCTACATGAGGGCTTCGAAAAAGTTCAGGGATTTTCCTAGTTCTAAGGCTTTAACACGGCTGATTTTGTATTCTATACCTTAGAGACAGTTTATTTAGAAGAATAGAAAAACAGGAAGTATGAATTCAATTAATTTGTTATTATAAGTTGTAAGTTAATTCACTAACCCTCTTCGGATCATCTCAATTAAGTTTTGTTGCATGAGATGGAAGCGCACGTCACGATTTTCATCCAAAAGAGTTGGACACAGTTCCTTGACCTGAATTGCCTTTCGTTTAGATAAAGATGTCGACCTTCATGCTCCATGACTAGTATGTTTAGCTTTTGCATCCATTTCATAATTTTCGTCTCAGAAATTCGGCTTCAAATAAGTAAATAATGTAAGTGTCGCTGCACAGATCTAATGAGAATTCTGCATAGAGGGGGTTGTTTCAAGAGAAAACGTCTCGGAAAAAGAAAAGTAATCATCTAAGTGCGTACATAGTCGGATTAGTAGAACGTTCTCGTCGATCACAAGGATATTCTCAATGGGACACACATACACCGCGAACTTCATGATGAAACGAGATATTGCAGGTTTTTGATGTGGAGTAGAGGCGCAAAGGAGCTTTATCAAGCACACCCTACCAAGTTCGGAAGAAGGGTCAGTTTGGGAGAACTAGAGAACTCATGCCGTAATCCCCAGACTAGCTCTCTGAAGCTAAAATGAGGAATAAAGACAAATGAAATTACCAATCGTAAAGCGTCATCCAACCGTCCTTCTATTATCGCACATCTGATATTCATACGTGCGTCCAAATTCTTGATATCATCCTTCGGCAACTCCAATCCCGATTCCTGACATAACAGCTCTGCTGCCTGTAAACTTATGAATTACAAGCCTGAACAACACCACAGATAAGTGCAGGGTAGAACTTAGAACCCACCTCTCTATACCCTTCAGATATCAGGTAGTCCACTATCAGTTTACCCATTTCTTGCGATGATGGCACGACGTCAAATTGAGCTGAAATAGTTTCTATCACATGGCTTTCAAAAAAATCTGAATGGTAAGATTTCGCTGAAATGGTGCACACTTTTCTTGACAAAAAAATACTAGCACAAAACTTATATCGATTGAATCATTATTTGCTGGCTGCCTGCATTTTTCATGAGGATAGCATTTTTGACAAATGGAAATTTATGCTTGCGTCAAACTCTTTAACGATTAATAAATTATGTAAGTATGCTCCAACACAAATCAATCCCTTCTCATACTTTGCTTGCCGATGGGCAAAAGGCGCCGGCGTTGATAAAATGACAAGCTTCACGACTAATGTGGCTCGACACACCTCTTAGAGGCTTGAACATGACTGTTATTGCTTCGCTAGAAATTGCAAACTGCTTAGCAGTTAAAGAGAAAGCTATAACGCAGCCAGTATACGAGAAATCGGAGCAGGACAGCCTCACGTGACCACCTGAAAGCGTTGAATTCCAGTGATAATTGCTCGTAATACCAATTTCTAGGAAAGGGCTTTTCTTGGGGATTTCACGTTTCTCTCACTGGCGCTTCTCTTATTAGCGCATTTCATTTTATGTCTACCCTACTTAAGATTTTAGCAAATTCCCGAAGTTCCTCTAATTTAGACTCTTTGTCTGATATGACTGTGTAATCCGTCATAAAAGGGAATCACAAATTTATCTTGGGTTGGGAACTTTTCCAGAAATCTTCAAGTTGAACTGTGCAATGGGAAACTCGTCCAGCTTAGTCGAAGTACATTTTCCCTAATATGTTGAAAATAGAAAATTCATAACTCTGATACCCTCACACAGTTAAATTTGGAATCTCAATTAGAAAAATGTATCTGAAGTTTTTCAGCGTCCGGACGTGCACGGGCGCAATCTGATAGCAATCTATTTAGAGCCTTGCGAGATGCACTGAAGTGGCTAATACGGACCGAGCGCTTTTGTAAAAAGGTCATGCGAACGAAACATTACATTGGACCCTTCTGAACAGAAATTCAATTCGAAACTTACGTTTACTTCTTTCCTCCTCGTCACTCAAGGTGGAGGAATCACTGCTATCGGTTTCTGATGAGTCTTCGGAACTGTCAGAAAGCATATCTTCATTCTAAACAAAAGACTTAATTGATTTGACAGCAAAATTGCCAAGCGAGAACGAAATAGAAAAATGACTAGAGCATGACAAAATGGTGCTCACAATCGGATACGCAAAAGGGTCGCCATCGTCGTCCGAATTGTTCCCAACCTCGACATGAGATGCTGGCTCGGGAGCTGCTTCTGGAGCAACCACTACCTCTGCTGCTGGTTGCTCAGTTGAAGGAGCCTCAGCCGGTGGTGGAGGAGCTGCTGAAACGGTAATTACTGTAAAATAACTCAGAATTCAGCCTTATCCATGGCAGGAAGGACAGGGGAGAGTGGCCACTTTCACTCTTCGAACTGGGCGGAGGAAAAACCGAGGGAAAACAAAATATGGGACAAGGTTTCCGGCGCTGTTTGTTGTTTGATATCCTACAGCTCAATGACCGAGGGTTCATTGCTCTTGAGGAACTCCAACGAACCTCTTTGTTGGTGCTCCGTAGATGCATAGGTACAAAGTATGGGTTAAAAGCTACAGGTCACCTAAAAGGAGCTTGGTTTCTAAGAATGAAAATGTATTCATGATATTACACCCCTTGCTACTGCACTGCCTTGATACAGTTGAAACTTTGCTCTATTTATCTGAACCCTTTCCATAAACTATATTCTCTCTTCTCGCTAAAGCGATAGGACGGGAGGAGTCCGAATCAACGATGCGAGACCTTCATCGCCTCCTCCTATCATTGAAATACCTGAGTCATGGCGCATACTTTGAAAAACTGAGGCACACAGAGTGATATACCACACATTTCCGAGAGAAGTTAGTGAAAGAAGAATGGGAAAATCGATGTGCTCCCGTCTGATTTCGCGTCAAGTAGCTCTATTCCAACGATTGTTTTCGCTTCTCTTATACAATTTGCAGATATTATCGCCGGGGAGCGAGGCAAAGCCACAAGAATCGGGAAAAAAGTACGCTTTTTGAAAACATTCCCCAATATAGATTCACTAGAAACTCTTCACAAACGACTCCTTGGACTAATTAAAAGATTTCAACGAGGTCCCCAAGTTACTAAGAAGAGGAGGCGCCCATTAACTTACCTGAGGTGAAGTGATTGTGAGGGTATGGCGGTAAAAAAGGGGGAAGTATTGAAAAAANAAAAAAAACCATAGCAAAAACTAGCACACGATATGCCTACTGCCAAAAGTGGGTAAAGAGGCTAACCAGCTGCTTCAGGTGTGCTTGCACGTGACGAATCACTATACACAGCGCTGCTGCCCGAGTATGATGACGAGGACATTCTAAAAACCTGAAAAAACCTTAAAATTAGATTGAGTTATGGAAAGTTACGATAACAATCAAATGTACACCTTGGATACGAGAATGTACGATATGAAAAGTAAAACTGAGACAATGGAACCGGAAATAACTGCTGGTCCCATCGGGCATTTGCGGCAGGTAGCAGCTGAGATTCTTGCGCGTCATGATAGAGGGTGGTCTGTGATCACACAGCGTACTTTTTTAAACGACTTTTCAATTTTCAAACGAAAGTTATTTATGACCCTTACATCCCTAGTGTTTAGAATAGAAGTTCTTCGAATGCGGTGAATTACTTTCTAAATTCTTTCAGGTATCTTTGTGCTATAGTTTTCTGATGTCTGCTGCATTCACAGTGGGTTATTTTGATGATTTCCTCTTTCCAAGTTCATTTTCTCACAGTTTTTAATGTTTCAGTGCCGACCATTACACACTTTACCTCGCTTACATGATTTTGTACCTCCAACCTGTCCAGCTCAATTTCATCATCGACTCGTTGTTGCATCAAAGTATAACATAGCGGTGGCCTTAGCAAATAATCATGAGGTTTGCTCTCTATATATCGTTAAATCCTTAGGTCCCTTTGAAAGTAATAGGAGATGGTGAACTGCTAGCTTTCAAAATGTTGATCTGGCAAACGGCATTGTTTTCAGCTTGTTGCCTTCCGCAACTCTGCGCTACATCAGCCACCAAGTGGAATCATTGGCGATGCAAAAATTCAGACAAAAATTACATGTTTAGATTCAAAGGTGCTCAAGTTTTATGTTCCTATTGCTTTGGGATCAGCTGAAAATCAAAATCCTTCCAGGTAGAAATTGTAAGCATAGGATTGAATGCTGATGAAACTTTCCTTGGAGTGCTCGGTAGCAACCCTCAAGGCTGCTTCGTTTTCATATTTGACATTTTAACATTGTCTGCTGACGTTCCTGGGGAGGTGAGTGGTTTGCAAATTGAAATCCTCGTTGGCTGTGAAAACACTTCGTGCTAAGGCTTTTCCTATATCAACTATTCGAGTTGGAAATTCGGTCTCTAAAGGACTCGCGTTCGAATGGAACCCAGCAATATCGGATATGTTCGCTGCTTCAGACAACGAGAGAACGTTGAGTGTAGTCAGGATCGATCCACAGGTCAGCTTATACTTCCTGAACGAAATTCATCGTATCATGGTGCTGGTTATTGAAAGTAACTGTTTAGAATTCTTCAAAGTACAGTATGATTGGCGAGAAAAAATTAGAGGCAAATATTAGTGAGATCTCATGGAGTCCGAAAGGAAAGCAGCTGGTCGTTGGTGATGTGCGCGGCAAGATCTACCAGTTAAAGCCGGAGCTCGAAGTATTCTATTAGCTATGCTTATTTTCAATTTCTATTGGGTGGCAGGCTTCCTCGTATGAGATAATTGTGTTCAGCTCGTTCGTACTACAAATGCGCCTGAAAATGCTGGAAATGTATTGGTGATAAATCTGAGCTGGCTGTCTACTACGGATTGGCTGGTAGCGTATTCTAACCCGGAAATGACAAGCATTGCAGCTTTCATGTTGAGCATCAAAAAGGTTAGTAATCTGGTGATTCGCCAGTAAGTTGTCGTCTGAACTTATCGGAAAAATTATTGTTGATGAAGCTGTTCTCGAAAGGTGGAAATGGTGAAATTCTAGGACTTGCTAGAAGAGATTTCATGGATAAGTAACAAACTATGTACCATCTCAGGACAAGCCACCGTCATGGACTCCAGTCAACTTCTCATCTCTGTCCTCGTTGGGGGTAACAAGAAGACTTCTAGTGGACTGGAACGTTGCTCTGGTCGTTTCACCTAGCTCAGCTGATCTAGTAGCGATATCGAAACCTGCAAATGTCAGTGCAAGATGCTATATACATTCCAAGGTTAGAGGAATCCTTAAGGTTGATGTTCTGTTTCAGGCCTGGACCACCACTGGTATAGCATCTTTACCTCAACCATCTAACACAAAATTTGCTATTGGGGTTGCCGTGGATCTTTCAAATCAGGCTATGGTTACTATAGGTTGGTTTGATTCGTAGTTACTTACATATATCCTACTGATTTATATTTCTTCATGTTGGACCAGTAAATTATAATTCGGTTGGAAGACAAAATCTGAACTCTCCAAGAGTTTAGCTGATGTTTTCGTAATTTCGGAAGTTTCTTGACCTCTTCCATTGGCAAAGGCCTCTTTCAAGAATCGAAAACGTTTCAGGAGACGGCTCCTCACGACGCCTTCCTGTTGTTATGTTATTGTACAGTGACGGTTCAGTGCTCTCTCTTCAACTTGCACCACCTTCGAAGGACTATCCTGATTGTAATGTGTGAGTAACTCACATACCCTTCTCTTCTACTTGATAAACATCCTTCATTAAAAGTTTTGGTCGCAGACATCTCTTTGTAAGCTTAAGTGAACATTCTAAGCAAGCGACAAAGTCGATGCTGTTTCAGAGCACCAGTTGCTGTCGACGCGAGCAAGATTACTAATGGACTCCGTCCAACGACTGTGATTGCCGCAACTCCTAGCGTAATAACGCAAGCACCGTCGTCGCTAGCTTCTACACCACAACCCACGCCCTTCTTAAGCGCATTCGCTACGAAAACTAATGAACCGTCATCTCAACCGTCTGCTACTTCTTCTATTACAAATTCATCATTCGGAGTGTTTGGCGGAGCACAATCACAACAATCGGTTGCTAGTGCACCGGCTGCTGCAGCGCCAAGTTTTTCATCTATTGCTGGGGCACCTCCGACTGCACCGGTTTCTGCCCAGAAGCAGGGTACAGGCACTTTGTTCAGTGGTTTTCAAGGTTTAGGAACACAACTGAATGCTACTACAACGCAGCCGGCAACCACTCCGCCAACAGGTTTGTTTGGTTCTTGCTCGAAGCACTTTTTTCTGATATCGTTTTTGTTTGAGGTTTGGCAGGTGTCGGAAAAGCTGCTGCTGGAGTTGCTGCTCACACTCCAGAAATGAAACCTGTGATTTCATTCAATGCATCACTGGATCAAAAAGGTCCCTCTACCACGCCAATTAAACAGGTCTCGGATTGAAAATTTCAACCATTTAGCTAGTGTAGCCATTACAACATTAATAACAATTCAGGTTGCTGATGCTGCTGAGGCCACGAAAAATGCTATAGCTGCAGCACGATCATCGGCTAGAACGGCCATAGAAACTTTCAGTAATGATTGGCATAACTTTCATGAGCTGTTACATTCGTTTTGCATTAATATGCAAAAAGTCGAAAGTAATGTTGATGAAGCAGGTACGTCTCGGTCATTTTGTTCTATTTTTCAGGAAAAAAATTGTATATTAATAGAACCCCGCAGTTACATTGTAGTGAATCTCTTAGAACTTCTCTAAAGAGTTGCTCCATAATTCGACTTAATCATTTTAGTGAGCGCTTTGACTCATGCGGATAATGCAGAAACAGTTGAGGAGATTCAGCGAATGGTTATACAGTTGGATGATGAGCTCCAAGATATGTTAGCCATGTTGGCAGGTGTGTTCGTAGGATCTCATGATGTTGATGTCGTGTTTTTAACTCGTGCTTTGTTATATATGTTGAGAAAGGTGACAACCAATCTTTTCAGATAGAAAGGTTACTGTCGATGAAAGGATGGCGTTAGCAAAAGAATGCAAAGATTCGCAGTTGATTTTCGGGCCTTCGGTAGATCCGTTTGAGGTTTGTTTATTAGTAAAGATTATACATGATCTGTCGTGGACCCTTTTCAAGTAGTTTCACTTTGTTTTGTGTTGCAGAGGCTTCAGTCTGAACGAGTTCTACAAAAATATGAGGACTTCACTCTGAAACTTCATGAAGCCAAAAAACTATTGGCGGATACGAAGAAGATTTCAGTGAGCGGGTTGACTCTTGAAACCTCGAGGACTAATTATTCAACATTTCGTTTTGTTTGCAGACAGTTTGTAAACCTCGACGTGTGACTCAGTTCGATCCAAAATTTGAAGGGCGTATATACGAAAGCATGAAAAACTTGTCACGTTATTCATCAGCTATACGATTACGAGTCGAAGAACTGGAAAGGAAGGTCTTGTATTTGACATTACGAGCAGGGTGTGTCACTTTTTTCGTAAAGCTTCGCTACAGAAGAATCGTTAAACATAGCAAAAGGGTATTACCCAAGAAAAACGTTTTACAGGTTGGACTCCACAAGAGATCACTCCGTGACTAACCTACACACGAGCGCAGCTACGTTAGCTGATGCTCCATCGGCGGTATTCTCATACGTGTATCCGAGGCCAGTAAAACTGGATCGTGGTGCATCGAAAGCCGAAATGAGAGCAAGATTACTGGAAGTTTTGAGATCAAAGGTGAGGATTATCCCATTCTGGCCTCATTCTTCAAAAACTGCGGAGCTGCGCTTCGGTCACAAAGCTTGAATTGAGTGATAGTTTTTTTCTCAACCATTTACACTGACTCATTTTTCTGTTTCTTCTGACCTTTTTCCGTTATTTTTTTGACCCCTAGGAAAAACTGCCTCATTTATTTTCCAATCATATAAAAAGTCGTTTCATTTATTTCACACAAGCATAAAGCCCATCTCAATCATTTCTATTCGCAGAAAGACGTTAAAGCAACTATCAAAAAGTTTGAAGCTCTTCGATTTGACAGCGCACCTAGCGATGACACCTTGAGTTCATCGTTCCTCAATGTCAGCAATATTGAAAGTAGTTTAACACAAAAGGTGAGCCAAATTGAGAGCAAGATCTTGGATTTGAGTGGTGCTTTGATTGTTACATAAATTTTGCTTTACGCTTTACAATCTAGATAGCGTCACCTCCAAGCATCAAACCTGTCTTAGCAACCCGAAATGCAAGCACCCAAGCAGACGCACCACCCCAAGCTCAACCGAAAGTCCCTGCTGCGACGAATTGTAAGTAGTTTTTCTCCGAAAACAATGGATCGGTCTTAGGTAGTGCAAAGCTTATGAATGAATCTTCTGCAACTGCCTTTCAGTACCTCTCTCTTCTTTATCAACAAAATCTGAAACTGTCGCAGTAGCAGGTGCTGGCACTGCTACTCTAGTGGATAATAAGAAAACAACCAGTAGGTTCTTCTCGTTTATGTTTCGGGAATCGGCTTGCAAAATTGCTTTCCTTAGGCACTAATATTGCTCCTATTGCAACATCCACTCCAGCGACATTCAAATTCACCACGGTATGCTTCTTTTTTGTTTTGGACTAATTGTCTGCTGGAATTTACGACAAAGTGCGCTATCAACAGCAGTTACTCCTCTTTAGGGTCAAAGCAAACCTGGAGGTTCCTTATTCTCGTCTGCTTTCTCTGAAAAACAACCATCCGCTACTGCCACAGAAGATAAACGCAGCCAAGGTAAAACCTGTTGTTGTTCTTTTCTCCTTTTATATGACATACAAACGTTTAGATGCATCCCTAGCAAAACCTAATGTCAGCCCAATCACCTCAAAGCCGCTTTTCGGTGGTTCATGTGAGTTTTATCAGGATTTTCCAAAAGTTATGGTTGCATGATGTATCATTTTCAACTGAATGCATATTCTCTTAGTGATTAGTCAGGTTAAGGTTGTAAACTAGCTTATTTACATGTAGAGGAACGATAATCTCCATTCATTATCAAAATGTGAAAGGGGCTGCCGAAAGTTGCAGGGGTACCAGCTTGGGCAGATGAATTATTTTGGGTGGAGGAGCTCTCACATGACTTAACATTACGGTGTGCACTTCTTGAATAGATAAGTATTCCATATATGTACATGTATGACGCCGAGAAGAATTAGAATTGCCCCAAAAACATGGGTTACCGTTCTTTCTCGAGTGCAAAAGTAAACATCATCTTTCGGCAACGGGAACCCAGCCGTAAAATGGGTTTCCAATCCTTTTTAGTCTGTTTCTAACGTGAAATCCTTCCAGCTGCTGCTACCGCCCCGACCGCTGCGTCGCTAGCATCGAAGCCTTTGTTTGGTGAGATTCTCCTTTCTGTCGTCATTTCTTATGAAAGTCGTGGCTTTTCAGGTACGACGGGAACATCTGACAGCGAGAAGAAAGATGAGAACCCTCTCCCAGTTCCCGAAAACAAAGGTCTGATCTGCTTCGAGCCCTGTTGTAGAGCATTTTCCTTTCATTCCATTTTCTTTATTCTACTTTGGAGTGTTCAGCATCCGTAAGTGAGGAAAAGAAGGAAGACAAGCAGGCACCTGTTTCTGGCACTGCAGGTAAAAATTATCCCGACCTTAGGGCTGGTTCTTTATCTACAATAATAGTGGTCTCATTTACAGCTGTCTCTGCTTCGGACAAGAAGGATGAGAAGCCGTCGTCTCTGTTTGGTGGCACAGGTGAGCGGCGAATGAAATATTTTAGTGTGAGATCTACTTGATTGGTCGATAAATTTAGGAACACTAAATGTCGAAAAGAAGGAAGAAAAAGTAACATCGATTTTTGGAGGTTTAGGCTAGTTATATTGTTTTATTCTAAGATGGAAATTGAAGTGACCCAGTAAATTCAAGGAACCACCGTAAATGCTACTTCAGAAAAGAAGGATGAAAAGCCAACGTCGTTGTTTGGAAGTTTGGGTACGTGCATTTTCTTGTTCCCTTGGTTTTTTCCAGAACCTCTTTAACGGTACAGTTACAATGGTTTTGTTATTTGAGGTTCGAATGTTGAAAAGAAAGACGAGAAGCCGTCTACTTTGTTTGGAAGTGAGTTTTGGAACGTCATTATGAGCGAGACAATATATAATTTTTTGTTCTTTAGAAACTGCTACATCTCTGAATCAGGAACAAAAAGAAGCAAAGCCATCATCAATCTTTGGAGGTTAGGAGAAGCTCTCATTACACGGACTGATATGTGCTGAAATTTTGTGAAATTGAATGTTTTAGGAGGCTCGGTTGCTCCAGCCGTTGACAAAAAAGATGACAAACCACCCTCAATATTCGGAGGCTTAGGTGCGTTGATATGGTTCTACTTAGTCGTGGGAGCTCATATGCGCTATTATTTATGTAATACTAGTATGTGAGATGGAACATTCCAGCACAAACCGCGCCGAAGTCAATTTTTGGAAAGGATGTGTCTGTGAAAACCTCTGAGTCCGAGCAATCAGCGGAACCTCCAGAATCTGCAGCCTCGCAAGACGCAACCAAACCCAGTAAGTCAGCTGCTCACAGTAGTTGCCTCGATACTCGACGGCACTCTTTTGTTTCATCATCTAGCGTATGTAAGTGAAAATGGTTGTGAAAAATTTCGCTTGTGATTCAGGTGTGTTTGGGTCACCCAAAGTCTTTGGCCAAGCCGAGACGAAAACTGAACAAGGTCAGCCTTCAGAATTTTAGAACTTGGCAGGAGAAATCAATGTGCTTATTTCTAATTGTAAGCTGTTTGGCATCAGACATACATTCGTTGGAAGCTGTACTTCGTTGAATCGTTCCAAAAAATATGTCTTTAGTGGTCCCTCATATCGTTCGAGTATGTTCGCGAAGAGGCTGGTTCAAAACAGAAAATGAATAAAATTTTCAATATTTTATATTTTTCAAAACATTTCTCTAATGAATATTTTCATGAAGAGGCCATGTAATTTTTAATCCTGACACACGCTGGAAGAAGTGTGATTAGTAGAGCAAACATGCTTTTGGTAAGTGGACCAGAGGTCTAGGAACTACCCCTCCTTCCTACTCGTTGATTCTTCCTCTATTTAGTCGTAACGCCGTAGCTTGAATCGAAGACTTAGGATGTCACATGTACTTTTTTTTTGAAGTTCTTTTGAATTGTCTCGTTATCAATCACATATACACATTACATTTCCGATTAGCTTTGGCTTCGCTCTTGCAGAGGCTGGAAGCTTGCTGCAGGTGTACTGAAATTTGCTTTTAAACATTTCTTATAGGGCCGGCTCAAACCAGCGCTTTTGGTAGCATTTTCGGGTCGAAGCCGGCTGGAACAGGTTAGTTGAAAGACCTTTTTCTATATTGTCCCTAATTATTTGTTTTCTTTTGCAATTGTTTATTCAGAAAGTGCGACTAGCCTTTGTTTTCTTCATCATATCATTTCCTGTTTAAGCCACAGCTGTGACGACATCAAGTCCACCCGCTTCTGTGACGTTTTCTTTCAAACCGAAGACTGCGGCAGAGAGCCAGCCAGCTGCCGCAAGTACTGCGTTCAGTTTTGGTTCTAAGCCCACGACTACCTCATTAGGTTGGCTTTGTGTTGAAAAAAATTTGGAATTCACAATTATTACCTATTATTATCTACTGTTCAAGGTTTTGCTGCTGCAGCTGCTTCAGCGGCCGCGACAGCCGACACAGATGAGGGCATGGATGACGACGGTGCTGCTGGTGGTACATCTCAGGCAACTAGTAGCATTTTTGGAGGAGGTTTTATGAGGTGCTGCATTCAACTTCCACAACGGCTTCTTGTAACTTTACTGTGTAGTGCGCCGTATAAGCTGCTGCAGGGTTTTGTTTATGAAGTGAATTTCAAGGAAGGACTTCCTAGTTGGCTGGGGGCTACCACCGTGGGTGTTTTCCAAGTATTCTCTCGCAAATTTCACCTAAATTTTGAAGTGATTTGGGTTAGAACTTCTAGACTAGTCGCGTGCGAGAACTAGTGAGTTTTTTTTTACAGTGGAATTGGATCTAGCTCGAGCGCAAACGCAGCTAAGAATGTGTTTGGCATGGGAACTAGTAACTTGCTGAAGAACGCAGCAGCAAAGCAGGAGACAAGCTCAATCTTCTCCAAAGGAGGGCAGACATCAGTACGTTTTGTGTTGTTTAATGATGAAAGTGAACACAAATTATCCGATTCAATCACCTTAAAATACATTGTTGAAGGTCTTCGGCTCAGGCTCTCAGCCATCGACATTCGCCTCAGCGGCACAAAAAGCTGCTCAGTCATCTTCTCCTATAACGTCATCGGTCTGTGGTTCATCTGTTTATCTGTTGTTAGCACAAAAACATTTATGGCATTCTCAATTCTTTAAGGTTTTTGGATCAACTCCGAAATTTGGTGGTCCACCGGTGTTTGGAGGAAAACCAGTGTTTGGGTCACCTACTCAAGCTTCAACCGCTTTTGGAGGAGGATCCGCTACTAGTGGGGGATTTTCAGCGTGAGTACTTCTTCTATACCGTACTCAGTGAAAGGACGTCAACGTGCGGTAATTTCGGGAAGATATGAGTACCAGTCGGCTGTAAAAACCAATCCTTGCCCACTAGAGGCTCATCGCTTTCACAGTTCTCCTTCAACAGAACTTGTCTTTGACTAATTTCGGTAGCCCATCCTTTTAATATTATGGCGCATACATTTCAGTTAATTCCAAGGATTTGGTAGTCACTAATACCAGCCAAGTTAATGTGGTCTTCACCTTCATGTTTCATTTCTCTTTCAGGATGATAAAATTCGATAGATTTCTCGCAGATTGCGCTTCACCCGAATAAGTTCGAAATCTCTAAATTAGTCATTTGCGGATTTGTATAATTTTTTTTAGGTTTTCTGGCAACAAAAATCTATTTGGCGGAGTGGCTTCTAGTGGTGGTAGCTCGCTTTTTGGAGGCGGATTGTCGAGTCAAACCCAACAAAAGCCGAGCTCATTGTTTGGAGGAGGGCAACACGCCAGGTTAGATTATAATGTGCATTGGGAAGTTCCACATCGAGCAATTCTTTTGATTTTTTTTCTTTCAGCTCGTTCAGCACTTGGCGTTAACTTCCAATTGGACCCGTCTTATTTACTGACCATGTAAACTTGTTATGGAATCAATTTTGTTGATGTTGAAATGCCGGTAGTGTTTGAATAATTCTGTGAAAATTTCTGAATGAATAAATTTGTTCTTATTTGTTTTTCAGTCGTCCTGTTTACTGTTGTTTGTCGCCATAGTTTGCGATGCGAATTCTTATATTGGAGCACCTGTGGATTCTTCTGTAATGATAGAAATATGAGGAATCTGTTCGGCTATGGAACTAGTTTTGAATGTGCGGCGGGGGTGAGATGTTGATTGTTGTCCATAACGACCCCATCGCAGCGAAGGCCGTTTGGTTAAATTCTATGAAGTGGTGGGCGTGAAGAACAGATGACTGGTCACAAGTTCTATACTTTCTTTGTAGGTATTGGGAGTGCTTCTTTTATTTTTCCAATTTATTAGCAACTTTAATTGGTTTCTCTGATTTCGCTGGTTTCACTGGTTTTATTGCATTCCCCTTCCCTTCGGCCACATAACTTTTTCCTTTTCTATAACGCACAATGATATAAACTCCTGGTGCGACCTGCATGCTGTACGAGAACATAGTGAAGGGAAATGGGGACCTATAGTCTACGAAGTGTGGTGCAGTCGGCAGCTTTGCTGGTGCCCCGCAAAGTGCAGAGCTTGGCTAACCAGTAATCGTACCAGTAAATTTTCGAGAAAAGTCATATCAAATAATCTTTAGAGTCTATGGCGTTGATCAGCATCGCTCTTGCTGTGCGCCACGCATTCGACTTCCAATCAGAATCGTTGTGACGTTTTGAATGCGTCTAGCCTATATAACTGAATCGCTGCCCAGTCGATGTACAAGTCAGTGCTTTTATCCTGTCAGATGTGTCTGGTAGCACCTGACCTATCTCTGTAGGAGTGGGGAGTCTGGGAGACCTTCTATCTCTGAACTACGCCCGTGTGACGGTGCGTGACCTGAAACTACACCACCTCCGCCCTCATATGACGAAGTGGGAACTTACTAATGAAGTATCCATTCAACAGTATCCTCGAGGGATGTAAATCAAGGGAAGAGTGAGAAGATTCTGAGTCGAAGGGAAGTAGAAGAACTTCTGAGTTCACATCTACCCATAGCTGCTAGAATGTAGTCACTTTCAAAACAGGTCACTAAGATTTTTCTGAAGAGAAAGTCTGGCCACTGGGTCACCGCGTACGGGGCGGCGTTCACCCTATGTTCCCTGAGAACCAGTTGGCGACGAGATCACGCTGAAAGAGTGGTCGTAGCGATCAACTACACGTGTTTTGCGTCAAATCTTTGGACTTCAACACCTCATAGCAGGGAGGCAGTGTTCCCGATGTTTAATCACTGAAAAGTTTGAATTCATGAAACCTATGGGTGGCCTTGAAAAGCCTTTTCCGCTTTTCAGTTTCTATGAACTCCATACAACATTACCGTCGATAGAAACTTATTGTTTTCGTGTTCAGCTAGTAGAGTTTATACTTTTGAGTGCAGAAACCTTATTGGGTGGGCTAGCCGTCACCTGAAAGACCATTGCTGATTATGAAAAATACTGTCGATTGATTTGACTTGATGTTTTGTACCCGGAAAGGACAAGTACGGGTCCGAGTACCGCCCGAGACTGGAGTTCTGCCCACAAATCGCCAACCTTGTGAGACTGTCGATTGAATTGGTAGGAAACTGTCCATCGCGGCCTGCCTGAATTCTTTCCGCGTCATACTTTACAATCACTCAGCACCGAAGGAAAACCTTCGTCAACTGGTACTCACTTCAGTTCTTTATCAACTCTCGCCGCTTCGTGGCACTTGCTTTCCTTGAAGGCTTTTCTTTCTACAACTCAATCCTTTGTTTTCCAGGCAAGGACCCCAACCAGGTCCAGGGGAGACGGGTGTCTTAGAATTCGCGGCTGTGCTGCGGCTCCACCCAGCCCTATAATTCTTGAGCAATCGATCGTTTGCGATTAGGATACCTAAGCTCCATAACGGAGACAGCCGTGCTTGGAAAGAGAGCTAAAGCTTTCTCTAATGGAATACCTGGTATTTATTGAAAAAGATATTAAATGCCAATAATTTTGGATCTCTTGAGCTGTTTCGATAGAGTTTCGCTTCTGAGATCTGACTCCGTCTCGAAGAGCAGCTCACTGGCTCAACAAACCGGTGTCTTGGTGAGAGGGCGCAGACGAGCAGAAAACTGGTACGGCGTGGGTTGGCTCGACACGGGTGTTCCCATGGCAAGCGGCGTCGGTTCTGTGGCCACTATCGTGTCCTTCCACCGGGATTTCAGGTCTTTTACTTCGTAACGCGTGGCTGTTCACGATCTTATGTCCACATCTGGCCTCTCCACACAGTAGGGATATCGGTGAAAATGTAGTTGGGGCTTGGGGTAGCGCCCTCTTGAACCATTGGAGGCTAGAACGCAGAGAAGAAGTGTTAGGCAACCTTACTTCTTCTTAGAGATGCTTTTTAGGTGCTAAGTGGGTTGGGGGTGCCACGCGGCGGCGCGGCACTCTTCTCGTCTGCGCCCTCTCCAGCGAGATAGT